TGAGTGCTCACTGGAAGGACAGATCCTGAAACTGAGGCTCCAATCCTTTGGCCATCTCATGAGAAGAGAAGACTCCTTGGAAAAAAACCTGATGTTAGGAAAGTGTGACGGCAAGAGGAGAAGGGGACGACTGAGGATGAGATGGATGGACAGTGTCTGCGAAGCAACCAAGATGAATTTGACACAACTCAAAGGCAGTAGAAGATAGGAGGGCCCGGCGTGCTCTGGTCCATGGGGTCACGAAGAGTCGGACACAACTAAACAACTAAACGAAATGAACCACTAGGGGCAGGATTTTTTTCTTTTTGTCCTTTTAACCTAAGATGACTTACCAGTAGGTTTTAAAAAAAGGAAAGAAAAGAGGGAGAGAAGGAGGAAACAGACACCTTTTCAACAGAACACCCTGAAAAGCACATTTTCAGCCAAGACAAGCACCTTCTGGGGAAAACCAAGCACCTTTCAGACAACAGATCACCTTGAAAAGCACCTTTTCAATCAAGACAAGTCAATACAAGCACCTTTTGGGGAAAGGGGGGGCAGCAAAGGAGGGAGGGAACATCTTTTAAAAATCCAAAAATCAAAAATTAAATAAAGCACCAAAAAATAAAAATGCAATCCGTACCGCACTGTACCAGGCAGTACCAGGCAGTCTGAAGACTGTCTCCAAATCCACTCTCAAAACGCCGGGAAGAGAAGGAAGCAGATAAGCACCCTCTTCACTGGCCAACGGTTAACTGAAAGTTCAAATTTAATGCTTTCCCCACCTCCAACACGTTTTTTTTTTGTAACTTGAATCTAAGTGTGCAAGTCGAGTCAATATTTTTCTATCAGAGTGGTTTGTAAGTCGAAATGTTTGTAACTCGAGCCGTTTGTAAGTCGAGGGTTGATTGTATATGAAGGAAAGCTAAAGTGAAAAAAAGGGGCTGAATTAGTTAATATTAATATTAAAAACAGTGTGGTCTGCTAGAAATAATTCGCATAGACTTTCTGACACCTGAGCCTGATGCGACAGGCATCAAAAACAATTGGGAAGCCACTGATCCACTTCACCAGGTATGTCCAAGCTTATCCTGCTCTACTAGAGCCCAAAAGGCAAGCACGATAGTGAACTCTGGGAAATTGTTGTAAGTCACTGCAGATTTCCTAGGAGATTTCACTGTGATCAAGAATCCAGCTTTGAGTCAGAGCTGGTTGTGGAGTTGAGCAAAATTACTGGGGGATTAAGTCACAAACTGTGCCAGATTACCGCAGAGGAAATCCTGTTGAAAGAATTCAGTCTTATAATATTTTTGTCTTAAAAGTTCGAAATCGAATCCTTTTCTTCTTTCAAAGGTTTATTTAGCAAGCAAGGAACTAAGTAACTAAAAGCCAAAAATATAGAATATACAGTACTTGGAATATATGTAATAATTACATGAACATCTCCTTTCAAAATCACAATCTTCTGTTACATAGTTCTCTAATTCGTATGTGTAAATAATGCTTCTATGTTAGAAAAGAAACTCTGCTTCTATTAAAACACGGGCTTCTGTTTAGACATCATAGAAGTGACGCTTATTCAAGAAAACAAGTTCTCTATAATAAAAGGCTATTTTCTTAGACAACTCTCACTCAGGCTCTTAAAAACAAACTCTGCTACAATCAGTCCCAACCATATACATATAGTAGTTTGGTTCACACAGAACACTTTAAAGTACAGCACAGACCCTGAACGTATCAGTCCTGGCTACCTATATAGAAACCTGAACCTATCAGGTAGGTACTAACTGACACACAGTTGTACTCAGTCTGACACACAGACTCCAACTCCTCACTCTCCACATCAGCTCCAGATATATATATACAGTACAGCTCCTCCCCCTGATGTCCCGCCTTCCACTCCCCATAGGATGGAACTTTCCCTCCAAACCCATGACAGACAGGTACCATCAGTGCTGTATGTAACAGTAACTAAAAGCCAAAAATATAGAATATACAGTACTTGGAATATATGTAATAATTACATGAACATCTCCTTTCAAAATCACAATCTTCTATTACATAGTTCTCTAATTCGTATGTGTAAATAATGCTTCTATGTTAGAAAAGAAACTCTGCTTCTATTAAAACACGGGCTTCTGTTTAGACATCATAAAAGTGACGCTTATTCAAGAAAACAAGTTCTCTATAATAAAAGGCTATTTTCTTAGACAACTCTCACTCAGGCTCTTAAAAACAAACTTTGCTACAATCCAAATTGTTATTGACACAATTCTATCAAAGCATAAGCAAGAACATTTGCAAGCAAGGCAGGTCACATTCCATGGCTGTCGAATGGGTGCTTTCAGCTAAGTGGCTGAAACCAGTTCCTGGAGGGCTGAGAGGCAGGCACTCTGGAATAAAAGGCTCTGGTCTGTCGCCCACAACTCTGAAAATCCTCGGCCATCTTCTGGTATGTCCGTAGGGACCCTACGCAAGGGATAGGACAACAGTGGCTTCTGCAGGCAGCCTGAGGCATGGAAAGAGGTGAGGATCCTCTGGGTTTCAGGGAACTTGAGGACAAACTACAGGGAAGCCGCCCAGCGAGAAAGAGAAGAAGTTATCCCTCTAAAGCGACATTTCTCCCAAAAGCTTCTGTGGCTGCACATGAATCATTGGATGCCATATGTGATGGGAATGGGAGCATGTATTAAAAGTCGGGCAACTTGTTCTTATGGGCAGAAAAAGAAGAAGTAAGCGAAATTTAGAGGTATGTCCAAAAAGAGCTCTTTTATCTCTCTTTTACAAGCAGCAATGTGAGTGTAATTAACTAAAGAATTAATTTCAGACTTACGAACAGCTCTAATATTAATGGTAGCTAAGTATGGGAAAATACAGTATGGTTTTCAATTAAAAGAATGTTTTAAAGAAGTATGTGCCACAGGTATTAATGAGAAACTAGCATGCAATATGAAAGCAAAGAAGGAATTGTTCAAATGGCATATTTCTACAGATATTTGGGGAGAATTTACTGGTTATGTGTTAATAAAGAGAAAGACTCGCTACAGATGTGGAGGGAGAAGGGGACTCTGTGATGGGAAGAGAAAGGGCGATGGTCTGGATGTGGTGAGGGGCCCTTCCACGGTTTTGGTACAATGGTTTAGAAGTTTTATGTTATCTGTTTTTGTTTCTTTGTTTTTCTTCTTGTTGTGTAATGTCTTGTTATGTTTGTGGCACTACAACTCCCTCTTAATGCCCCCCCACCCCCACTAGACTTCTGCTGTTTTTTTTAATGTTTTCCAGGAGCAACAGCTGGGGGAAGCATCCAGAGGAGAGCTTTGGAAGCTGAGGTCAGGGCACTCCTGGACTGTTGAAGGCCACGACGGCCAGGAAGGCTCCCCAGAGCAGGAAAGGCGTCTGTTTCATAGCCGACAAATGGCTCGGACCGGCCCCTGCAGAGGTCAAAGGCAAACAGGGGTTTCAGAAAAGTTATTTTGCATTATGAGAGGGGGGAAAGAGCACGGCTGAGAAGCGTGATTTGCTGGGCGCCACAATGGCTGGGCTGGCCAGGGATGCAGAAACCGTAGTCTGGAAAAGTGCCACGTGACCGCCTGGGGACAGGGGAGAGAAATCCTCCAAGGGCTGCTGCCCAGGACTCTGGATGCCCAACTTACTTCTGACGCAGACTCTGTCAGGGTGGCTTTGGATCGGAGGCTGAGCCTCGCAGAATAACAGGCAGCCTGGAAATGTCCCTCCGGCTTGACGTGTTGTTGTTGTTGTTGTTGTTGTTGTTGTTGTTGTTTTGTTGTTTTGTTGTTGTTGTTGTTGTTGTTGTTGTTATTATTATGATGATGATGATGATGATGATGATGTGTCCTGCGCGCTCTGGGATGATTGAAGCACTACCTTTCCAGGATTTGAAAAGTGCTCTCTGGTGTCCCCTCAGGATCCCACCGAGTCAAGAGCTGGGTGTGTTGCTTTGCTGTCCACATGGGGCTTGTTTTGCTCCCTTGATCTGCCTCAGAAAAAGGCTGGTGACATTTTTCTGGGGAGGCAGCGCTTCCGGTCCAGGTTTCTGTCTTCCCATGACAGAAGCCACCTAAAGTCCTGAACTGTACTCTCCCACCACCA